CTGTGGGGACATTAATGCTCACTGTGGGGGATTAATACTCGCTGTGGGGACATTAATGCTCACTGTGGGGGATTAATACTCGCTGTGGGGACGTTAATGCTCACTGTGGGGGGTTAATACTCACTGTGGGGACGTTAATGCTCACTATGGGGGTGTTAATACTCACTGTGGGGACGTTAATGCTCACTGTGGGGCGTTAATACTCACTGTGGGGACGTTAATGCTCACTATGGGGGTGTTAATACTCACTGTGGGGACGTTAATGCTCACTATGGGGGTGTTAATACTCACTGTGGGGACGTTAATGCTCACTGTGGGGGGGTTAATCCTCAAAGGGGGGAGCTAATGCTCACTCGGGGGTTGGCAGTTAATGCTAACTGTGGGGTGGCTGTCAGTATTTAAGGTGTTCTGTGTGAGAGGGAGACAGGTATTTAAGGTGCTCACTGTTGGGGGAAGGCTGTTTAAGGTGCACACTGCGGTGGAGGGAGAGGGGTATTTAAGGTGCTCTCTGTGTGGAGAGAGGGGTATTTAAGGTGCTCTCTGTGTGGAGAGGGGTATTTAAGGTGCTCTCTGTGTGGATAAAGGGGCTCACTGTGTAATTGGCACTTAGTGAGTCAGCAGGGTGAGTATATGGAGAGGTTGTTTGAGGATTTTATGAAGTGGACGGATTGAATGTTGTGAAATGGTTGGGAAACTGTGGGATATGGTTAGTTTTTGATTGGAGCCTTCGCTGCAGGTTTATCCTTCCTGTCCTGGGCTAGCTTCAGGGTCATACAGCATGGAAACTGACCCTTCAATCCAACCAGTCCATGCCGACTGTAATTCCAAACTCAACTAGTCCCACTTGCCTGCGCTTTGCCCATATCTCTCCGGATATTTCTTATTCATATACCTTTCTAAATGTCTTTTAAATGTTGTAACTGTACCCGCATCCACTATTTCCTCTGGAAGTTCATTCCACACATGAACCACTCTCTGTGTAAAAAATAAATTGCCCCTCATTGTCTTTTTTAAATCTTTCTCCACTCACCTTAAAATATGGCTCCTAGTTTTGAACTCCCCCACCCGAAAGAAAAGGCACCTGCCATCCACCTTATCTATACCCTTCATTATTTTATAAACCTCTATAAGGTCACCTCTCAACCTCCTATATTCCAGTGAAGAAAGTCTCAGCCTATCCTATAACTCTAACCCTCCATTCCCAGCAACATCCTGGTAAATCTCTTCTGAGCCCTCTCCAGTTTAACAGTATCCTTCCTATAACGGAGACCAGAACTGCTCACAGCATTCCAGAAGAGGCCTCACAAATGTCCTATATGACTGTAACATCACATCCCAACTGCTGTACTCAGAGGTCTGAGTAATGAAGGCAAGCATGCTAAATGCCTTCTTTACCACCCTGTGATGCAGAGTTTGTGTGTGATGCAGAACTTAGAAAATTGTGAAGATGGGAGGACACTGACTGTCCAAAAGAGTATTGGACAAGAGAATGTCAGTTTTCTTTCCGAGTGTCAGTGCAGGTCTGATGGGCTGCATGGCCTCCTTAAGGTGTAAAGGTTGTGTGTGATTGGAAATTCAGTCAATATTATTCTTGCAGATCACATATTCACTGACCTGCAGAAACAAACGACCTGGGACACAATCTACCAGAGGAGCCAGGGCCAGCCCTTTCAGTACTTTGACTGGTTCCTGGGATACTCCTCACTGAAGGGGCTGCTCCTGCAGCTGTTGCGGGATATGGAGAGTGAGGCTCCACTCAAGCTGCTGGATATTGGCTGTGGTACCTCAGAGCTGGGCCCCCGTCTGTACTGTGAGTGCCCATTCCCGCTCCATGTCTACTGTGTGGATTTCTCTCCAATTGCACTCGCCATAATGCAAGCACAGACTTCACAGCTGCCTCCACCTGTGAGCTCAGCTTCCCAACTGCATTTCGTACAGACAGACATCAGGAATCTCTCCGGCTTCCAGCAGCAGAGCTTCGATCTCATCCTGGACAAGGGAACACTGGATGCACTGCTCCAAGCAAATGGTGAGCTGCACTTACAGAGCATGGGGAGCTGGCTAACAGTGACATTGCTCACAGGACTCTCTCCCTTCACAACCACCACTTGCTGGGGGCACAAGGTACTCTCTGACCCTGGGGTGGGTGGGGGGAGCTGTCTAGTACTCTCTGACCTGTGTGGGGAGCTGTCCAGTACTCTCTGACCTTGCTTGGGGGTAACTGTCTAGTACTGTCTGACCCTGCTGGTGGTGGGGAGCTGTACAGTACTCTGAGAGCTTTGGGGGGTGGGGGAGAAGCTGTACAGTATTCTCTGACCCTGTGGGGGTGGGGGGAGCTGTCTAATACTGTGACCGGGGGGGGGGGAGCTGTGTATTACTGTCTGATCCTGTGGGGATGGGGGTGAAGCTGTGTATTACTGTCTGACCCTGCTAGAGGATGGGGGCTATCTCGTACACTCTGATCGCAGTTTGTTTTTGTACAGATGGTGGTGAGACAGCTTGCTGTGCCCTAACAGAATCACTCCGAATGCTGAGACCTGGTGGCTTAATGCTGCAGGTATCGGACGAGGATCCTGATGTGCGGATTGTTTGGCTGGAGAGTCTCCATCTTGTGACTGTTACTGCACTCGAAGTGGACACTGAGAAGAACACTGGTTATTTTGCTTACATTATCAAACCAACCTCAATGAGTACACAGTGTTGACTCAGTCTGACCTAGCAAGGTCTCTGCTTTGACTAATAAAACAGTCCTGCTCCCACGCCACCTCCTGTGACCTGGACAGACCCTCAGTTGCAGACCCCTGAAGCTGGAATTGGAGGTAACCAGCCTGTCATTCTGCTATGCTGTGACAACCTCTTTACCCAGGTGCCTGTAGAGTGTGGACAAACAGTGATGCCCTGCACAGTCAAATAACTGGTAAATGGCCATGGGCTGGGCTGTCATGCTGGTTCAGTGCCTAACTCCTGCATCTGCCCCCACCCCAAAGAACAGGAGAGGAGAGAATGTGCAGAAAAAAATGATCTAAGGAAAACCTCTTGAAACAGTCTCAATTTGCTTTAAATAAAATTAGTGATTTATAATGAGCTTGTCTGATGCTGTAACACTTTTGGGAATTTTCTCCAGGTGATGGCAGAGAGTGACACAATATTCAGTCAACCCCTTGCAAAGGGAATGATAGAGCATGGGCCCTGGGCAGCTGATAACTATAGCTCAGTGAACTGCATTCAGCAGCACCCAGTCAAATGCTTGTATGGGCTGGGGCTAGACTGGGAATGGCACTAAACCAGTAATCCAGAGGGCCAGGCTAATGCTCTAGAGACACTGGATCAATCCTACCACAGCACTTGGTGGAACATGAGTTCCACTAATAAAATATGGAATAGATTGCCAAACTTAGTCACGGTACTAATCATTAAATTATCATCAGTTGTTGTCAAAATCTGTTTTGGTTGCTAATGTTCTTTAGGAAGGAAATCTGTTGCCCTTACCAGGTCTGTCCTACTTGTAACTCCAGGCCCACAGCAGTGTGACTGACCTAACTGCCCTCTGGCCATTTAGGGATTGGTAATAAATGCTGGACCAGAGAGTCAGTGGACTGGGTATGGAGCAGATAAACCAGATGTACAGTGGAGAGATGGGAATGCTCAGACAGAATTTTGAGTAAAAACCAACAACAAAGAACTTTATTAAATCATTAACTTTACAGCAAAACTGTGGCATGACAATACTGATGAGGGGGTGGGACGGTCGGAGAAGAGAAAGCAAAGGGGAAGATAATGAAATCACCAGTAAAACTATATACAAACTCTGGGTGCAGATGTGGCAGCAGACACATCAAAATACTTTCATTCTCTCTTCAACATAATGACCCCTTTTCAGAATCCACGCCCCCCCCCGCCACACTGAACAGAAACAAATGGAATGCAAATTGGTGAAAAATTCTGAAGTTTGGGAGACGTGGTGTTGAGGTAAAATTCTACGGATGTTGGAAACTGGAATAAAAATAGAAAATGCTGGTGATGCTCAGCAGGTCTGATAACATATGCTTGTGAGAGCAGGAGAGGAGACTGGGAGCAGAGGGCAAGGCAATGGCATGTGGAGGTTTCCTGAATGCTGAGCTTCCTTCTTAATGGAAACCGATTGACTTTACAATAAGGAGTGAAAGACAGCAGCCACAAGGATGGGATTTACAGCTGAAACCTGTCATGCTAACTGCCACATCTCTGAGAGTTGGTAGCCACAAGAAGGATTCTATGGGAAATTTGGGGAGGACGGGTATGTGGTTTTAGGAAGGGTGTGTGGTGCCAGCAGCTCCCCAATGGCTGGGCTTGTTTAGGCTGAGCAAAGAATGTGTCTGAAAGTAGCAGTGGTGGAAGCTGAAGCCTCTAACTAACCACAGTGCTCTAACTCAGTGTTGATCAGAGAGTGTGTGAAACACCCAGACTGCACAGCAAAAAAAAAGTAACTTCAATAAAAACAAAAGTAAGATTCTTCCGGTTAAAATCATCATGGCCCAAAGGGCCCGTTCCTGGACAGTTTTAAAATATTGTAACTAATCCTGTCACACTGGAAGATGATAATCAAAGATCGAGTTTTACATCGAATCAAAATGAAACTCAAAAACAACATACAAAATTGAAGCTTCATCTCACCCTTTGTAAAGGACATCCGGCTGTGAGGACTGCTCTCTCAGCAACTGGAGGAGCTGTCTTCAACTGGAAAAGCTTCATTGGAGTCCTGCTCCGGGGGAGGGGGGTGGGGGGCTGCCGATTACAGACAGACAAGTTGGGGGTGGGGTAGGTGGGCCCATTGCAGATGAACAGGCCTGTGCTGTATAAAAATTCTCCGAAGCTCGACCAAATAGACCACGAATTGAGTTCATTTTGCCAAAGTCTGACCAGGTTGGATGAGTGCAGAGCTGGGCAGTTGGGTGTCAGAGCTCAGACTCTGTCCTGGCTCCATATTCTCCTGGGTCTTCACCTCCCCAGTTACTGCACAGAAACAGGGCATTAGGTCAGTGATTTGGCAATACTTCTCCCCCATCGCACCCCAAATTCACCCACATTGCACTCAAATACCCCCTACATTCCTCACTCAATATCCCCACATTCAATACCCCTCTCAATAAGCTACTCACCATCCCAACGTGGAAATACATCACTATTCCCTTCGTGTCACTGGGTCAACATCCTGGAATTCTCTCCCTAAGGGTATTATGGGTCAACCATCAGCATATGACTGCAGTGGTTCAAGAAGGCAGCTCACCCCCACCCTCTCAAGGGGTAACAAGGGAGGGGCAATGAATGCTGGTCCCGCCAGCAATTCCCACACCCCGAGCTAGCTTAAAACATACTTCCTCCAACCCCAACCTAACAACACTCTCTTCCCTCAATAATCTCCCATTCCTCTGACTTCGCCCTGCTCTGTCCCCCGATCGCTCCCTTCCTCCCTCCCCCAACGTACCTGGCTCTGTATCAGCCTGGACCCTCTCCCCAGCCTGGGGGACCAGACCCTCTCCCTCGCCTCCCTGCTCTGCCATGAGAAACTCCTCTGGGGGCCAGCGCAGCTCCCCGCTCTCCACCTCACTCACATCAGTTGGTTCCACCACGATGGATGGCAGGCGGTCCTTGAGTTTGCACTGACCTTCGTAGGAATCACAGGGATCAGGGAAGATCTAGGAGAGAGTGGGATTTGGAGAGACAGAGCAGGGAAGAGAGAAAGGGACATAGAGAGAGAGGAAGATGCAGGGAGAGGCAGGGACATGGAGCGTGGAAGAGAGAGAGGATGATGACGGAGAATATGTGGGGGAGAAAGATAAGGACATGGAGAGACAGAGTTGGCGGGGGGGAGAGGGGGAGAGACACAGTGGGAGAGAGAGACAAAGGGAAATGGAGAGACAGAGTGGGCGGGGAGAGAGGAAAATGGAGAGACAGAGTGGGGGAGAGAAATAGGGAAATGGAGAAACAGAGAGAGGGGGGGGAAGAGAGGGAGAGACAGAGTGGGGGGGATAGAGGGAGAGACAGAATGGCAGAGATTGAAAAAGAGACAGACATGGAGAGACAGTGTAGGGGAGAGAGAAAGAGACAGAGATACGTGGAAGGCAAAAAGAAAGAGAGACAGGGACATGGTGAGGTAGGGAGGCAGAGAGAGACAGACAGAGAATATAAGAAAGGGAAAGCACAAGTTGGACATAGACAGTACAGGAGAGGGAAGGAGACATGGGAAGCCAGTTTGGGAGAAAGTGGGAGGAGAGGAAAAAGATGGAAACAGGCAAGAGGATTGGAGATAAGGGAGGGGTGACGATGAGGGGTACATGGGAGAAAAAGAGGGGAGAAAAACCTAGATTATTGAGAATTACTTGCCAGTTACTCAGTGCTTCTGCAAGTTTATTAATGCTTAGTCTTTTTGTTAAATTGCTAAACCTTGGTTTAGCGGAACTGGACTGGCTCAGATTCACTCTGCTGGCTCAGGGCCCAAAGGACCAGATAAGCTTCTCCTCCAGAGCAGGAAGGAACCTAAGTGCTAGTGTAGATGAGTGAATGTGTATTACTGCTGGTCCACAGCCCGAGAAAATGTGAGGTTTACTCTCTGGAGGGGCATTGTCTGTAAAACCACTCACCAAATTCAAAACTGATGCTTCTGGACAACCTCATTTTGCCCCAAAAGACCAACTGACTGATACACTAAACCCAGGGTTCTCCGACAGTTCACATGCACCGAACCCTCTAGGCACAACTTGTAGCCCCTGCCCCCTCGAACCCCTCTCTCATGGAGCCAAGTCATTGTGCCTTCCATCAGGAGGAACTCAGCAGAGTGCAATGATGGTGGAAGCCCCTGTGAGGTGCAAACTGCTTGAGGGAAACTTTATATTAACGCATTAATGGTGATTGAGGTCACACAGCAATGTTGAAAGGACAGATAATTAAGAGAATTTACAGGAACATTTGAAGCTGGAGTGAGGCCAAGGAGCTGCGCGAGTTTGAGATGGAATGTGTCTTCCTCACAGCAGGCCAACAGGGAGCAACCACAACAAAAAATGTGAGAGAATGGAAAAGACTGTAAATGTGAGAAGGACAGGAAAAGCAGTCTCCAGGTAAAGCTTCTCTTATCAGTCCCAGCTCAATACTCTCTTATACACATTGTTCCTCAACAGTGGGCTGTCACTTTGAGTAGTGGATCATGAGGATTTGGTTAGTAGAGCACTGAACTCTGATATACGTCTAGGTTAGATCTAGCTGCCTCTGCACATATAGTTACTATAATTACTCAGAGCTACTCTCCTACTCCCAGTTCAGCTTTTCGAAAAGCCCAGTGGAGTTTAATGAAATATTTTGCTTTGATCCAAATGAAGTTGGTTTGTATTCAGCCCCACTCATCCTTTAACTGCAATTTACTGTTTGTATAAAACCTAAAGGAGGCCCACAGTCCCTCCTCTGGGCAGGGGGCTTACAGGACGCACAGGTTCTCCTTGGGGGAGGAGGGGAGGTTAGAAAGCCCTTATCTGCTTTCCGGAGGGACCACTCTCTCCGTGACTCCCTTGTCTGCTCCACTCTCCCCTCCAGCCCCACCTCCCCCGGCACTTTTCCCTGCAACTGCAGGAAGTGCTACACCTGCCCCTACACCTCACCCCCATCCCAGGCCCCAAGAAGACTTTCCACATCAAGCAGATGTTCACCTGCACATCTGCTAATGTGGTATACTGCATCCGCTCTTCCCGTTGTGGCCTCCTCTACATTCGGGGTAACCAAGCGGAGGCTTGGGGACTGCTTTGCAGAACACCTATGCTCGGTTCGCACTAAACAACTGCACCTCCCAGTCGCGAACCATTTCAACTCCCCTCCCATTCCGCAGACGACATGTCCATCCTGGGCCTCCTGCAGTGCCATAACGACGCTACCCGAAGGTTGCAGGAACAGCAACTCATATTCCGCTTGGGAACCCTGCAGCCCAATGGTATCAATGTGGACTTCACAAACTTCAAAATCTCCCCTCCCCCTACCGCATCCCAAAACCAGCCCAGCTCCCCGCCTCCCTAAACTGTCCTTCCTCCCACCTATCCCCTCCTCC